GACGTCCCAGATATTGAATTACCAACCACCTCGAAACGGTCGGAAGATATAAAACTAGCCCCAGTAATGAGATACCTTTAAATTCGTTTTATTTACTTCACAATCGCAAAAAAATCTGACGTGCCAGATAATCAGTTAGATTATTTAAGAGCCACATGGGAGAGCTTCAAAATGATGTATTACTCAACCATCTCGAAACGGTGGGGAAGATGTAAAACCGACGTTGTCCCAGATATTGAATTAGACCCTTAAAGGGCCACCGAGGGAAGCTTCAAAATATTCAACCACCTCGAAACGGTGGACGGAAAACTATCCCCAATAATGAGATACCCTAAAATTGTTTTATTTATTTCGCAATCGCAAAAAAATCTGACGTGGCAGATAATCAGTTAGACCATTAAAGAGCCAATTGTATTACTCAACCACCTCGAAACTTTGGGGAAGATGTAAAACTATTATGAAATACCCAAAAGTTCGTTATATTTTTTTAGCAATCTCAAAAAAATCAGACGTTGTCCCAGGTATTGATAGAGCTTCAAATTGATGTATTACTCAACATCCTCGAAACGGTCGGGAAGATATAAAACTAAATTCAGTAATGAAATAACCAAAAGTTCGATATATTTATTTCTCAATCGGTAAGTGGTTCTTCAATGGTCTAATTCAATATCTGGGACAATGTCAGTTTTATATCTTCCCCACCATTTCGATGTGGTTGAGCAATACATCATTCTTAAGCTCTCCTAAGGGGCCCTTTAATGGTCTAATTCCACATCTGGAACTTCAGATTTTTTTGAGATTTCGAAATAAATATAACGAATATTTAGGTATTTCATTATTAAGGTAGGTAGGTATATCTTCCCGACCGTTTCGAGGTGCTTGAGTAATACATCATTTTGAAGCTTACCTAAGTGGCTCTTTAATGGTCAGGTTAAATCTCTGGGACGTCATATTTTTTTCGAGATTGCAAAATAGAAATTAAATTGCTTTTTGACTTTTTAACTTAAATGCCGTTTACCGCACTTGTTGCATAATATACTATTGTGAACGTTGGTACATCTGCCCCAACATGGTATTCCATATCTCACAACACACACATACACCCATCCTGCTATTCTTACGAGCTATATTAGCTTATAAAACACCAGCTTAAATTAAAAGTAGTACATACTACATTATAAAATAATAACATTGTTTAAAAAGGTCAATACATGTACAAAACAGTAGAAGAAAACATATTTTCCCACAGAATGAACCAATTCTATATGGTTTTTGGGAGTTCCCTTACAATATTCCCGTGCTTACTTACCCAGCATGTCCACAGGAATATATTTTGTTTAATTAAAATAAGTAACGAACTGGTCCACTGTACTATTTACAAGTCCGAATCCAAATCCAAATCTAACTTCAGCCACATGATCCCGTCTTGCTGTTCCTTTTTTGCGTTAAACATCTCGGAACGTTTAATGAGGAACGACTTGTTTCTCCAGCAATTAATAAGAGGCGGAAATTTAATTAAAACCGCAATAATAAATTGCTAATTACTCATCCTGTGATATAATTATCTCGCGTACGCTGGGCTCGGTTTTGTTTTTGTGGTGCGCAATTTAGTGTTTTTTTTTCGCGATCGTTTTCAAGCCTCATTTCGTTCGTTGCGTTTGGTCGTCCACTTAGCTCTTCGTTCTGAATATTCTGATGCCAGAAGCGAGTAGTGTAGCCATTGGTTAGTTGGTTTCGTTTGGAACAGTGGTCGATAAGGTCGAGCTTTAAATATTATTCACACTCTCAGTTTGAGATAAAGTTTCCCTAAATCTAAATCTGTCTTATACACTCATTAAGCTTGGGAGGATGCGCAACTGAAAATTTTAGATTATTTCGCCGAAGTTTTCTCATTTCTCGTAAACTCCCTTAAGAAAATTTGCTGATCTTGACTACTAGCTATATTTAAATGTCATTACTCAGTTTATTTCATTCGTAGCTTGCTCATCCCTGACAGCAACGTCTTAAAGTGTCTTTTGCTGCTCTGATGTTGAAACAAGTTTATTTACGTACCAAGTTTGAGAAAACTGCACTGCAGTTGTCAAGAAATGTCCTCAATAATAACTATATTAGAATTATTCACAGACATGTTCCCATTATTAATCCCTCACTGTTGAAGCAAGATTCTAGAGGGTACTGTAGTTCCCTTGTAGTGTGTTTAGTGACACTTCGACTTTTTGTATAAAATTTGAGAGGAAGCGTCACTAGCACGCATCGCTCCGGTATTCTTTTATCTCAATATGTAAAGTTGAATGTCAAAATGTTTAAGTAAATCTTTTATGAAATTCCGTTGTCTCGACATTAGAGTTCCTGGTTTGTCATTCGATGACTCCACTTTCTGGGACAGCTTGCTGCCCATTAAGTCACTATGTCCTCTTCCTCTTGCCAGAATCTGCGTTCTCTTTTTCTTTCACTCAGTACTCCTACTTATTAATGTTAACGATTCCTTAACTTCCACAGCTTCGGTAGTGATCTGGCTCGTTCCCTCTGGGTTCCTTACTCTGAGCAGATGAAAAAGCACTTTCGATAGGCCTTCACATTGGCATAACACTTGTGTGACCCTTTCCTCCCTGTCTTGACAGAATCTGCACCCCCACTCCCAATAGCCTTCATTTTGTACCTTATGAGGAAGTATGATCTATCTTTGTCCTGTAACATATCTCTATTTTTGATGGCTGGTTTTGCACTGGTCAGCTTCACTTTATTCTGAATGTTTTGCGTCATTTTTTCTCTTGCACAGTGTTCTAGTGGAGCGGTCTTTGCTTTGCATGGAGTAAAAATTTTCATTTTCATTCGGATTATTTCCGGCCTTCGTGGTGGACAACTTTTTCAGTCTTCTGCGGTGGTTTCCCTATTGGTGGGATTCTTTTTCTTGACGATCTAGAAAATAAGCTTATGGTCCCCACGAGAACTCTCCTAACAATTTTCCTCCCGCTATCGCCTTTCGCATTTCGTTATAATGACATCATAAGCCGTCCTTTCGTCGGCAACGGTGCATTATCCGTGGTCTTTATTACTTACCAAGACATCTGAAGAGCGAATTGAGTTCGGAATGGCCGGGCGTATCTCACCGAGCGGATCTAAAAATCATAACGATAGAGATTCCCCGCGAGCCGACCGACATTCTCCCGCTGCAAGAACGCACATAAAGATTGTTCTACGTCTGTGAACGGCAACGCGAGATTGTTTGCCGTGTTTCTCTAATTAGCGACAAGAAGCCTATTGTTAACGTATTGGTCTTACTATTTGTACCGCTGATATCAGTTATTTTGGTCGGCGTCGCCACGAGTTGTCGCCCGTAGACTGTCCTCTGGTGCCACGGATATAAAATGATTATTGAAGTGGACTAAATCCAATAATACGTTAAGTTAAAATATTCGTCCATTCCAAACACACGAAATCAAATCGTTAATTGTTAATCTATACGATTTTTGCATAGTTGGTGTTCGTATGTGTGTTTTGTGATGCCATTTTAGTCGAAACATTTTACCCACTCTTTAATTAAATTTATGTTTCGACATTATGATAATGTAGTCCGTATGTCCATTAGTACTATTCTCGAGTGTAACTGGTGCTTTTTAATAGTATATTATGCAAAAAGTGCGGTAAACGGCTTTTGACACTAGCGGAGCGCAGCGGAACGAGTGTTTAATAAACGAGTGACCTAAAAAGTTTACAGAACGTGTTGCATACTATACTTTTTCTGCGATCGTTAGTTTTTGGGTATATGACCGGGTATGACCGTCAGAATTGACAAACGTCAAAATTCAACCCGGGGGAAACATCTCCGAAAACATCCGATTGCTCCCAAATCCGTGCGGTAAAATCCCGGAAATGTCCGAAGTGACTCGAATTCATGGGAAAGAAAACTGACGTGGTAAAGTGACGCTTCCCGCACGCTAGATCGGTGTGTAATTAGATATTTTACAGACGGGAGTAGAAAAAATGTTTTCTTTTACTGTTTTGTACATCTATTGACATTTTTAAACAATATTATTGTTATATAATGTACTAGTTCTAATTTAACCTGGTGTCTTATAAGCTAATATTTACCATAGGTTTGGATAATCAGAATAGTAGGTGTGTGTGTGTGTGTGTGTGTTTGTGTGTGTATGTGTGTGTGAGATATGGAATATTATGTTGAGGCAGATGTGCCAATGTTCACAAAATATTTTTCAAGTAAATATATTGAAAGTGTCCTGACAGACTTCATGTAGAAATTAGTTGTACTAGAAACCTTGTACTAGTTCAACTGACAAAAATGCGTTACCTGCAACCCTATCGTTTGTAAATGTGCAACTCTTTGCCATATAAATTTAAAGTAAAAACTTTCCTTATTTAAAAAATCGGCAATTTAAGACAATTCCTAAAATTTGTATTTGTGATGATAGTGTGAAAAGTTTTTCTTTTATTAGGTTTTATATTTTTAGATATTAGATTGTACGCTTTAAGACGTCAGGTTCGTTACCCACGCCAGTCACATTTTCGGTACTTTCGGTATACATCAAACTCGTGATTAAAGTATCATTTATCAAACTTGTTGCTTAAGTGGGAAAGTCCGAGAGACATTTTTTAATCAGAATTAATCCGACTTTCACTCTTTTTGTCTAAACCAGTGGCGTGCAGCTTTTCTTGTCCAATGTATCAACGATTGATAAACAACTAAGTAAGGGAAAGTTTAAACACCTTGTATACAAAAATCGAAGCTTTTTCATATTGAGAGATTATAATTCATTTATCAGTACGCAGATGGCGCACCAAGAATCGCTAGTAAACTAACCAAAACTATACTTTTGGGTTAGTTTTGGTTAGTTTAGGCTAGTAAACTAACCAAAACTACACTTTCGGGTTACGAAACAAAATTTAATTGAATGGAATAGCTTTGCTGTCTTCAACGGAGTTTCTGTAAGTAAATTTTGGAATTAGACCGTAATTTTTCTCAAAATTGCGTTTTGTTTCAGGCCGTCCTGTCGTCGTCCGAACCGCCGAAGACAACCAGTCATATCGGAGAGGTAAGGATCGCCGATACGTTTTTTTCTTCAATTTCGAAGCCCGAGATCAAAGCGACGCGCTCGGGTACCCAAAAAAAAAAACGCCCGCCCAAACGAAAATACCCGCAAGATTGACACTCGGCAATTGGAAAGACGGCCGTGCCTTTTTAACCGTTCGAGCGTTTATAAATAGCGACAGCGGGTTCGAAAATAAGTTATCGCCGAAATGACGAATTGCGGGTGGTATTTCTGGACTTGTGGGTGGAATGTTTTGACACGTTTTTTCCGAAAATATGTACTTGCGTTGCGCAACCCTCGATCCGGACGAATCTTGCGTACACGCTTAAAATGGGCTTTGGATTTTACTAAAGGTACTGCCCACTGGTCCCCATCTGTGTCTATGTAAACAACAAACCGTTTCATCTTTTTTTCTTGCTTGGAAAATGTAGGAGGAAGGAAAAACTTGAAAATGAGATACCTGCTAAATAGGTTTCTCAGATAACCTGATGTCTTTTTCATCGTCGAACTTTCGAATGTCTTTGAAGAATTGCATAACCTTCTCTTGTCTCTTTCGCTTTTCATGAAGAACATGTACCCCGAACTTTCTCGTGATAGATTCAACTAATAATCCTTATCAGCTTTTCCATTGGTTGTGTCGTTTTTGGGGTTAGTTCGCGATTGTGACGTCTGACAGACGTCAACTCGAGGTCCACAGCGCTAACGGCAACGTCGTCGGGACGTAAATCCGGCAACTTGGTATACGGCGCGTCAGTCGACGGCAGCACATACATCTTTGATTGTTTCTTAACGTCTCGTGCACGCGATACACCTGTCTGTGCTTGATTGACTGGGTGGTTCAATAACTGGATCATACTCGTACATTTTCATGAACCGCCACACCGGTTAATGGCCAGCGCGCGATGTTTTATGTATGAAAATGGCCGCTCGCGATATGGATGGATATATATTTTGTGTAAACAATACTGCGCGGGTATAATTCTTCAATTAAACGACATCGAAATGTGAGAGATCGATCCGAATATTCGTCTCGATATCTGGGGGTCATATTGGGGGCGCGACTTTTATATCGAACTATGCCAGTGCCGCTGCGGTCACATGGATTTTGTGACAAAAATTTTATTTAGGATGAGACGGGTGGTAACGGGTATCGTTTTCTTTGTCATAGAGGTTACAGGGAAATCCACAGATATGATGGACGGTACAAAGAGATCTGTTTTAATGTGTGTCAGAGTCAAAAGACTGTGTGTAAGAGAGGTTTCGTTTCGTCAGTTCAGAAAATATATATAATATCCTTCCTGCGCAGTTAAAAAAGATCGTTATGAAACGTCAAAATTCAAACCGTGGGTAATATTTCCGAAAACATCCGTTGCTCCCAAACCCGTACAGCCCACCATATTTCCAAAACCAATGGATAAGATGTCAGAAATCAGAATAAAGAATTATGGGAATATAAAATAACATACAAAAAATATCGGCTTGTCACAATTTAATATTTTCAAAATTTTTTGACACGTCCTACCAACACTTAGTAAATTTCAATAAAAATTGGGAATCCGTCGCATTGGCATTTTTTTATATTTCTTATTGGCAACCCTGTAGATAGGCTGTAAGAGTACATACGGCCAGTTTTTGCCCAATATATATTTATAAATATTAAGAACGACTTGAACATTATGAATTTCTGTTTTCTATTTCTATTTAGTCATCTGCCTTATAAAGTTTTCAAGTCGGGTTAGGTTAGGATGTTGCAATAAAGTCTTTGCCAATACTTTACTATTACTATTAAATAGAAAATAAAGTATTTTAATATTCATTATCTCTTTTTTTAGTCATAAAAATAAACAGAAAATTTTAATTTTTTCCCGTTTTTAAAAAATAAATAATAATTTATAACATTTAGTGTTCATGTTTTGGTAAATGCGTTTCCATTTTAAATATATTTTTAAATAGTTCTGTTAGGAAAACTTGGGAAAGCTTTTAAATTTCTTAAGAAGTTTATGGATTATTACAAATTTTATTATATACACATTACCACTTTTATATAAATTCGCAAAATACAAGAATTACTAGCTGTCTTTTTCTATGGCCGTTGCCATTCCAATTTAGATGGACTTGATGGTTTATGATTTTATTGAGTCTGCAAACGTTATATTTGTCCAATACCGGAGATGCAATAATTTTATTGATTTTAGGTTAGGAATCTTCCCGTGTATTAACAAACTTCTTACGAAATACGCGTAACCGATACCGTAAATATTGGATTAGCCGTGGCTCTTTTTTTGGGTCAGATTTTCAATGGCGAGAGGCCTTGGGCAGAGAAACTCGGAAGAGTCGACCACATATAATATCTGGTTTCGATGGACTGCTGTCGTGGCCCGGGGGCCCACAGTCCGAACGGTTATTGTCGCGGCGTATGTGTGACATGGTTTATTGTTGTTGTTTTTACGAGTCGACAAACTATTACGAAGACGTTCCCTTGATTCGCCGCATATGGCGACAGGTTTGGCAGCCGAATGGCCCAAATGTTCGGCACCGAAGCGACCGACAACCTCGGCGAGCCGTTACGACCGTGCCGATAGTTTTGGCGACTGCATTTTAATTTTTCATCGTTCCCGATCCTCTTTATAAACGAAGAATGCGAAGGATTTAATTTTGGAATGGACGGGCATCAGAGGAAAATATTGCATTTGTTTTTTTTATAAACTAATTAAAACTTAAACTCAAAACTATGAATCAATTTTACTATTTACAAAACTTCTACGTCTGTTGTTTGTAAATCAACCTCACTGATGTTTCGCCAATCATCAGGTTGACTACTTTCCAGACGTTTCAGTTAACTAGCAGGTGAAGATTTGTAAATAGTATTACAGTAGCCCGTGGACGTTTCTTTGAAAAATTTTAATTTTATTTATTTTGATCTATCAAGTAAAATGAAGACACACTTTGTGATGTCTGAACAAAATTTGTGCACAGCGTTGTTGTTCCCATTTCCCTTTTTTTCCTCTCTCTTTACCTTAATAAACATCGTAGATTTGTAAGAGCTGTAGTAGGTTGATATTAGTTCTTTCTTTTGCAAAGCAGTACGTGGTGTAAATAAACGCCTCCAGGGGTCCTATGTTTGTTCTAAATATAGACGCTGAAAGCTGTAAAATTATTCATTCATGTATTATCTTTTATTATAATTAATGTTTTATTATAATTTCAACGGGTACGATGCACAGTTGGTAAAAAAAACTGTTTCAGTTTCTACGGCATAAGTCAAAACGTCATGCAAACGGAGGTTACGTTTGCTTTACGCTTGGTCTTAAATTTCAAGAAAATGTTTCTGAAATAAAGATATGCATGACATAAACACTTATAACTCGTTTATTAAACACTCTCTCCGTGACCTAAATGCCGTTTACCACACTTGTTGCATAATGTACTATTTCAAATAACTTCTGTCAGATCACTAATGCTAACTGCTGCAACAAAATTGCGTCAAACGAGAAGCATCCACAGATATCCGCAAATGTTTACTTTGTTTAATTTGATCTGTGTAAAACAGAATTGAAATAAATTCACATTTGTAAGAATTACTTGTTTAGTAAAAGCAAGTTGGTTCTTACAAAAAAAAGTATTTACTTGTATATTTTCCGACTTTTTAAAAATACGAATTTAAAGTTTTATTTCCTTGAGAAGAGAAGAAAAAGAACAAAATTACAATAATTACAGCGCAAACACTCGTTGGTCGTTGGTTGTAGCAGTTATCTTTACATCTTTCTTAAGATTCTGGTGTGGTGCCGCGTCTTTCTTGATGTTTCTCTTTTTATTTCATCAGATGTTTTACTATCCCAGTTTCCTTAAATTTGCACATTTTTCCTATGTCCCTATGTTACTGCAATCCTTCTAGTTATGGTTAGTCCGCTTTGGCAACACGCAACATGCTTTTTAAATTCCCTTTTTAGACATTTAAAATCAAATATCCATTTCCCGGTCTTCATTTTCTGGATACCGCCTAAAATAAGTCATTCCTGTAAACAATAAAGAGCCCCCCTAAACCCGAAGAACGCCGTTCCCTTAGAGCCGACCTCTCTAACCTTTTAACGGTGTAATCGATATTCCAGGGGCCTTATAATTGCACGGCATAGAAAAAAAAAAGCCCATTAGGAGTCGGGTTTGATGTATGTGGGTGAGCCCGGTCGAAGAATGCCCCCCGACTCGTTATACCTAAAATTGCCTTTCAGCTGAGCGGAATGCGGGTCCTAACGTGGCCAATCAAAGACGAACGTTACACCGCGGAGGCGCGCACACACACACACACACACACACACACAGGTAGATGCACCTTGTTGATTGCACCTTTTTCGTTCTTTTTTTTTCTTCCGCCGTTAATTTATATCGTGCTTGTGCGTATACCGGTTAGATCAATTGCCTCCGAGTAGGGAAAAACGCGGTTTACCAGTTCGGGCAATAAAGGCGTAGATTTTATAAATTATCTGTTGGCGTAAGGTGTTCTAAAGTTAAGTTTCGGGGGGGGCCATAAATCAACGGGAGCATCGAACGGCCCCGACAATGGGTGTTGACTTTAGTCTAATTTACGACACACGGGATTACGTCCCCCGGTGTTGTTGGGTAATTATGAGGTCCGCGGGGGCTGCGAGGCTACCAAAAAAATTGACTACCCTCTCGGGGATCGGACGCACCTGTTCGAGATTTTACGACCAGATAGCCGGTGAATAAATAGATACGTCTGTTGGACCGGTCGTTATGATTTAACGTCGTTGTTTGGTGCGGTTTTATTAGCAATTTGTGTCGTTATAACATGTTTGAAAATATAGTCGTTGAAAGGTTAGGAAGTTTCTTGTTAAACTCCTATAGTAGTCTGCCTTCATGTGCGTTCCTATCATCCCTGGAAACCAATACTTCTACTGCTACTGACATCTTCCATCTATCCATCGTCCCAAAAAAATGATCTATGCGACCTTGTACTATCACGCATCTCGTTTACTAGCTGAAAA